GTACACAATGGGAAACAGAACAAAAATATGCACATCAGATGTGTTCCAATCTGCTCAGAAGAAAGCGAAAAAAAGGTGAAATTGGAATGATAATATCTATACCATCAGCTTCTGTACCATTTGTCGATCAAAGGTTCAAATTCATTTTAGTCATGAAAAGCAGTTGAAAGTAGAGAATTATTGGATGGAAGCATAAACAGGTACACAATGGGAAACAGAACAAAAATATGCACATCAGATGTGTTCCAATCTGCTCAGAAGAAAGCGAAAATTTATAGCTACTGTGAATTTGAACTATGGAAAAAAGAAATTAATGTAAATTAAAATACTACATCTAAACATTTGTAATTGAAACACTGTTCCCCCCCCAGGCCAATTAACTAAAACTCTATACTTTTTACCAAGTTTTTATTATTTCTTTTTCTTGCAGAGGAAAACTTTAAATTGATATGGAAATATAATCAGTAGTATAGAGAATCATAATGTTACTACCATTTGAATGAACTAGAGATGCTAATCTACAAATTAAAAATAAAGGTGATTTGTATAAAAGAGATTTTTATGCTGGTTAAAAGGAGCAATGGGTTAAAATATTATCCCAGCTAAATCTATTAAATTTAAAATGGCTAGAAGAGCTTTGACAAGCTCATTAAAATTAATATGAATATATCAATGGGACAGACTGGCTGTCATAAATTATTCAGGAAGAGAAATTATGCTGTTCAACAAAGCATGCAATTTTTTTTATTAAAATACAAACAAAATTTTAACTAGGAGCTAATTTCCATTTCACCCTGCGTTACTAGTTTTATCTTCTTGAGGCTCCACAACAAAAATCAGTTACATTAAGCACATCCTGAATTACAGCCTCGTGGATCAGTGAACTTTATTGCATTGGGTAGCCATGGTTACCAGTCACTGAAAACGAAAAGAGACAAAGACTTGACAGCAGTTTTTTGTCAGCCAGGAAACCACAAATCAGCTTAATTTCATACCTATTTTAGACATGAACTGAGGCTATTGCCTGTCAGGGTTAGGTGTGTGTGCATGTGAGTCTGTCCATGTACACAGTGTTGTAATGTGACAAGGAGTGGCAGAACTCTGCTTGCAAGACGAGGTGGATTGAGCAACTGGAATAAAGGAGAATTCCTGTCCAGTTTATAGCACTCTGTATAATTTAGGAAAAAAAAAAAAAGCCTCTCTTTGTGACTTCTCCACTGTTGAAAACTGCTGTTAAAAAACCTTTCCTGAACTTTCAAAACTGCATTTTAAAATGCTTTCAGTACTTACTCCCATTAATCCTGTGAAAGGTTGTGGATGATTAGGGAAGTATTTCTAATTCCCAGTCTGTATCTATGCCTATGCTCTAAAAGCTACTAGCATGGTGTTTAACTGAAAATAATTTTTCCTTATTTCCATGGCATTTAACTGAAAATAATTTTTCCTTATTTTTCTGGGTAGACAAGAAGTTTTTGAGTTCCCTGGAAAGGACCCTTCTCCTTTTCCATGGTCTTTTATCTATTCCATCTCTGCAGAAGAACTCAGCAAAATTTGGCACTTTGAGTTCATTCTTTTTTAAGACACATGAGCAGAACCAAGCACCATGCTGCACAGGAGGTCTCCTAGACTGGCACACTCTACCTCTTCTAGACTGGCACCAACAGTTTGCTGTCCCTCTTAGAAATATTTTCTGAGTACTTACTGGGATATTATTTACATTTGCATGGCAGTGATGAGAAAAATATGAAGTTCTTGATTAAAACTCATAATACTTATACAGTATGTAACTGATGAGTCAAAATGACTCAAATCAAAAATCAAAAGGGCAGAATAAACTGTGTAGAAATGGTTGAGTAAACCCAGAGTAGCTTTGCTGACTTTACATGCTGAGTCAATGTAGTTTTACCTTGTCTTCTTCCTTGTTTTGTTCTAAGCTATTTAGCTCTATGTACACCTCTTAGCAACATTTGTTTGGGGAACATTTTGGAAGATGTCTGTGTAGTTTTAAGCAAAAAGCAGAAGACTTTCACTCTCTTACCTGCAGACTCACAAAAACCTAGACTTATGAATTTCTCTGTGTGTAAAGAGAGATGACCTAAAGCGTTTTTGACACTATTTGGATTTAGTTTTGTAAGTACCATAAAATCTGTTATTGTATTGGCTTAATTTAATACTTGAGAGATGTTCTCAGAGAACTTTTAGATTTTTTTTAACATCGTTTTCTGTAAGAAATGACATTTCATCAAAACTTCATAAGAAAAAGATGGGGAACATAAAACGACTCTCCTCGTTACTAATTATTCACTTATCCCAAAAAAAGTTTTCTTATGTTTTTAAATCTTTGGAAATACATGAAAAAGCAAAGTCTCCTGATTTTGTTATGAGTTTCTTCACTTTAGAATAATTCCCTCTTTCTTTCTAGAAATAAATTACTCCAAAATATTTTAACACATTTATTTTATATAATTTCAACCATTTTTCATTGCTTTCCTTAACTCTTCAGGCATGGACATGGATTTTAACAAAGTATTAGTGTTAGGAGAAAGGAAGCATTCCTATTTCTGATTGCATATCTGCATCTTAAATTATTTGCATCTCTTCACCTAAAGAGACTGTAAAGGTGGTAACTCATTAAGAGAAAAGTGAATAATGCACAGTCTTTTAGAAGTTTCCCTTCAATTGTCTTAATGAAATGACTTTTTATATATTGATTGCAGGTTGGAAAATACAAGAAATATTATCTTTGTAGAAGCTCTTCTGCGATATCTGCTGGCTGAATTGGCACTTGCAGTATGAAACTGTCATGTAGTAATAATAATCCTGGCTGGAATCCTTCCAGTTCGATTAACCTCTTTCAGTTTCTGGTAAGTAATTAATCTGTTCTGGCCATAATCTGACTAATGGCCAAAATTAAAATGGGTGATAACATTTCTGGAAGTCATACTGCCAAAATTGGACTCCTAAAGAGAGTTTAACTATGATAAAGTTTATGTTTGGATTTTAAAGATTTTAACATGAGCAAATTTTCTAGAATTTTACCATCTGGACTCCTAAAGAGAGTGTAACTATGATAAAGTTTATGTATGGATTTTAAAGATTTTAATATGAGCAAATTTTCTAGAATTTTACCATTCAATGAATGTGAAAAATAATCTCAAATTCTTAGGAAGGAGAGGCTGAATGCAGTTGTTCCCTTTGTATAGATCCTACTGAAATGCCCACAATTCTTGCTGCCTTGCACTGATGCTATTTACCACAGAATCATATAATAGTTTGTGTTCAAAGGGACCCTAAAGATCATCTAGTTCCAACTCTCCCTGCCATGGGCAGGGACACAGGTTTCTCACAACCCCATCCAACCTGCCCTTGAACACCTCCAGGGATGGAACACCCACAGCTTCTCTGGGCAACCTCTTCCAGTGTCTGATACTGTGTGGACTATTCAGGTCTTTATAGATTACTTTTACTTTTTAGCAGTATTTTAGTCACATATTTTTCAGCATGTGAAATACAGGCATTACGTTTTTTGTTAGACATAGATGCCATCTTCTGGCAGAATGTGGGTAGTTGTATCAAAATACTTTTAATGGAAAAATAAGTCCAATTATTTTTTTGCTATATTTCCAGTATTGTTTGTTGTAACATCATAGATTGAAGCATGATCATAATATACATACACACTGACAATATCTGCTGAGGTGAATATTCATTCCTAAGGAGAAGGCACTGATGGCCAAAGACCTGATGCCAGAATGTGTCGGGCTCTGAGAAAAGTGTGATAATGTTTTCCTCTAATAAGAATCTAGTTTACGTTTAAAAAAAAAAGTTTAACAAAAAAAAAAAAAGGAAGGGATGGTTAGTTCACAGTGAAGGGGTTTAATTGCTCATATATTTGTCTAAAAACTGATAATCACACAAGATGGGATGTTACTGATGAGATGAACCAAACTAATTACTACTATTCCTATTTAATTTTTTTGCCATGCAATTTTCTCAGTTATAGTAGTGATTTGCAAATATATGAACTTTGAAAATAAAATGCCCAGATTAACTATGTATCACAATTAAGATTTGTCAACAAGATATAGAGGGACTGTAAATTAGAATATTATTTTAATAGAAACAGTTCTAAAAGCCCAACCTTGCTCCTGCTCTGAGTTTTTAAAATTAGGTTAGTCTTACTTAGCGTTTTGGAAAGAAATGAGTTTTTTAGAAATTAAAATACATGGCTAAGGAATGGCACAAATACTGGTTTACTATCTGTATATTTGATACAAGAACTTAATGTAATGAATAAAATGTCAAAGCAATCCATTTTAAAATGTATATGAAGAAATACTTTTTTTCCAGATTTGATGGCAACTTTAAAAAAACCCATTACATTGACAGATAGAAGTGAGGCAAATCTCATAAATTCTGAAACAAATTACATAGTCACACATGGTAACACTGAAATCTGCTATGACATTCACAAGGATAAAAAACACTCACCGAGAATATAAGAGCAGGATTTATTATTGACAAACCTGAAAGGAAGAAGTTACCTCTGTCTTTGCATTACAATGATCTATTATGCTTTCATCTGAACAATGGGGAGCTATTAATACTGGACATAATGTAATCCATACATATATCATGGAATGATTCATATGATTTTGATATAATGAATTTTTCCTAGCGTTTATGTAGAAATATGACTCTATGTTGACTATGGCATTTGCAAACAATTAAAGCCCTTAGAAACCTGTGCAGACAAGTCTATATTTCTTCATAGCTCTATTTTCAATATCATACTTTTCCATAGAAGAAATGCTCACTTGTAGCAGGCAAGGACATTGCTATTATACTTTGCTTTAATAAAGAGGTTGCAAAGTAGCAAATAAATAGTCTTCTCCCTGACTGATATCCCTGTCACTCGTTCATGCAGAGTTCCCACAGAAATATTCACACCTTTCAACAAGACAGAAGAGAAATTGGGCTGTTAGTTGCCAGTGATTCTGTCAAGTGAACACTTTATTTTGCCACTTTAAACGAAGTTGTTCTGAAAGATCACTTCTGCCACTCTTCCGCAAATAGCGACGCAGGAGCTGCTGTTGATCCGCTGACCTTGGAAGGGTCTTTCTCCAGCAGCAAAGAAGCTCATAGATCTGCTGTGTTAAATTATCAGGGCACTTCAGCCTAACAAGCTGAAGAACACTGCGACGAACAGGTAAACGTAAAGCCAACAATGATGTATTATCTTCTGCAAGCTCTTCTGCAAGCCAAAACAGCAAGTCATCCCACAGGGCCTCTGAAGGGCAAAAATTAGTAAAGAGTGTTATTCTTCTGCTATGTATAGCCTTCTTTCTTTTGAAAAGCTTTCCAAAGGTGGTGGCTCAGTGGGTGAAGTCCCCAACTACATATGGTTTGGTTTTTACTTTAATGGAAACATCATTGCTTCTTATTTTCAATGCAGTTTTTGATAACTGTACTGTGACAGGAAGGGAGTTAAGAGCAGATTCAGCAAGGATCTATAATTTTTGGAACTGCATGGAGAAAGTTAGCAATAAAATAAAAGGGTTTCAGTATTTCCTGTAATGATGCATCTTTTAGACTGGAGCTTTCCAGTACAAACTGAATCTCCTTATACAGAAAATCATATGCTGCTCAAGCATCCCACCACAACCATATCTTTCACAGGCTTTTGCATTTCCTAGTAAACAGGATTTTTTCCCTTTGACTATCTTTTAACACATTAACTACTTTCATTCCTGAATAGGGCATTTTAAAATGTCAGTTACAGCTGAAGCAAATATCGACATTTTAAAAAAGTAAACAGAAAATATAGCCATTATTTATATTGCTATTAATATATTATGGATGTTCTCTTACCCAATGAATCAGAAGAAATTATTTTTGTGCTTCGGGGACGGCTGATCAGCTTTTCATGCTAGCAAAGAAAATGTGTTCAGGAAAGAGAAAGGACTAAATGAGTAAGGGATGAGACACAGGGTATGTGAGTGGATTCCAGTAAATCAGCATTTAAGACTGGTTCTACCTACATACAAGATATTTGTAATTATTGAGAACTAATTAACACCATCAGCAGGTATAAATCATTATACAGCTATTAAAATAATGAAACTAATAAAGTTTCCATCCATCCAATGGATGTTTACTGCCCTTTATTTAAAAGTCCATAATTTATGCAATTTTACAAATCAGTGGTCTTATGCCACATCTAGAGTAAGGAGACTGGGTGTATAGAAAATCTCTATGGATCTTTTGTACATGCAATGGATTCTAATCTTGAATACTGCATTAACTTGCCAAAAATAACCATCTTTAGGTATGCAGCAGCTGTTGTTAGGACCAGTAGTCATACTATGTTTGTAGCTATAGTTACTACTTTTTACACAGTTCAGTTTATAATTATATATCACTAAAAATCATCAAAATTCAAAAAGGTAGTTCCATTAAAAAGTGCAAAGTTCTTCTTCTTTCTTCCTCTAAACAGTAGAGAGAAATAAAAGAATATTTTGTCCCTTTTTTCTTATCACTGAGAAAGAGGAAAGTCTTGTGGGCTTTACTGTTTTTTCCTACTACATATAGAACAAGATATTATTCACATAAGCACTGAGCATAAAAAGAGATTAGTTTGTTTCAAGTGAAATTCAAATTTTTTCTTTAAAACCGTAATTATCCTCCTTTAATGCCCACATTATTTTTATCACACACACTCAGTTGTACTACCCTTCTGTTTATGCACAGCTTTGGCTGTGAGACTTGCCCAAGGTTTATTCACTGAGCCTCAGTTTTGCATTTGTCAGTTAAGAGCATGAAACTCTGGACTGGAAAAATTGTTCTCCTTTTCCTGCTGGACATACTGAGCCAGAGCCTTATTGAGCTTATCTTAAGAGTTTCTATAATACAGACTGTATATATTGTTCAATATTTGGGGTGTCTCATATGTACTGAGCTACACCTCCATGAGGTCAATATAATCATATGTGTTACTTATTCACCTGTGAATTTAACAATTTTTCATCAGGCCTGGACTCAGTTATCCTGGGAGGTGGTTCCAGTGTGCACCACAGAATGTACTGCTTGGCAATGCAAAACCATCCTGTGCTGGACTTTTCTTGAGATCTTGGGGGTTGGGCTAGATGTCTTTTAAATGCCTCTTCCCACCCAAACTGTTTCATGATTCTATGATCTAAATATGCCTCATTTTGCATAGTTCTACAGCCAATCTGTCACTGAACATGCCCTAGGGTGAAGATAGCATAACAGGGCCAAAAAACTTCAGAATAATGGGAATATAAAGCTCTTCCAGAAGGGGGCATTGCTTTTCTTCCAAGACTCAGGTTTCTCTGGCTTTGCTTAATTATGTATTTATATTTAAACTTATTTTCATTCATTAACAAGACTTCAGCACCTCAAAGGTCTGCATGAGATTTTCAGAGTTATTGGAGATGACCTCAATTACCCATTGACTTTAATCTGAACCACTTTATGCTACTTAATGTTAAAATAGTAGCAAAAAAAATCACAAGAACTGAAATTAGTATTGTCTAGAAATAGTGAATAATATACAATGCATTAAAACATTAAATTGATTTTAAAGATTAAATATCTGTGGTGAAGGGCTAAATTCACCCACGGTTCAACTGCACTGGCATGTGGTCCTGCTGTTCTGGTTGACAGCTTAAATAAAATACTCTTAGCAGTCAAAGCAGTTTTCTAGTCTGGAAGGCTCTTCATTTAGCTAAGCAACTGCCTTTCTGAAGCAGAGGATCACATGCTATTCTGCTGTTAGACAGTCATTAAACCTAAAACTTCAGCAGAATGGTAACTTCATAATGCCTGTATGTATTCCAGCAATCTATTTTTGCAAAGCATGCTGATTTCAGCCAGTGACATTGATGTGCTCTGTCAAATGGACCTCTCAGACAGGACCAGACTCTAGTAGCATATCAAACAGGACAGACACACGTACATTTTATATGGAGTTTGCCACTAAAGGAGATCTCCTCTAAAGATCTTCTGACATTAACTGCTCTTAATTTTTACTTGGGAGAAGAGAGATGAGAGAAAGCAAGAGGGTATGCTCATGAAATAGATGATGTATTAGCAGGTTATAGCATAAGGAAGAGTGAAGTCAGTTAAATTCAAAAAGAGAGTGGTGTTACTGCTTGTCACCAGAGTTTTAGACCAAGTGTTACTGTATATATTTTGATATTAAAATGAATGCAAATTTGATAGTAGTAGTCTAGCAGCAGCATTTTGTACAATATAGGGTGCTGATACCTAAGCTCTGAAAAGAGTACAATGAGATTTCATTGCAGGAATATTAAAGATGAATTTACATAGCAATAGCTTTCACCAGAGATGAAGATAATTGCCTGCATGGCTGTATTGCAGAGGCTAATCAGGCATAATAGGATAATCAGGTGATAGGAGAAAGATAGGTTACACAAACCATTTAATGATCCTACAATTTGCAACTTTGCGCTCCCAAGACAATGATACAAGAATCATATAACTGAATCTATTATCTGACTGAATTCTATTATCTAAGTAATAATTTCTCAGCTGGGGATAGCAAATGCATGAAGAACTTTGCTAAACAATTTTTCCATTCTTATGCTTGGATGGAGGTCCCTCCCTACCACTAGAGAAATTCTGAGGATGTTTGTACATTGATGGTGGATCAGAACTGCTCCATCAGTGACTACTCTGTAAATCAAAAATCATACCAAGATCCTTTTTCCCAGTAAATACATGGTGAGGGGAAAATTATCAAGGAAGAAACCCACCTTTGGTAACGTTAGTGCTAATTTACACAGTGGAGACTGGTGTTGATATTCACCATATGGCAAGGGTTGTTCCCATTTCTTGGTTATCATCTCTCTGGTAATTTTATAAAACACTGCTGTTCCTTTGTAATGAGGTGAACTGTGGTTACCAAATTCATCCACTTCTTTAATTTGGAGCTCCAGCCTGGGTTTCCTTTGTGAATGAAAAATCAGTCTGTAGACTTTCCCAAAATCTTTCCCATTCTCTGCAGCCCATACAAAAACAAAAATTAAATCATTTTTTTACACTGTATTCAGATACGTGGCATCTAAAATAAATCACTAGGTTGAGTCAAGTAAAGGCAATCACATAACATTTAGTTGTTCTGTGGTTGCTGTTTATCATAATTTTTACTTTATTGAACATCTGAGGTCCAAACATTCCTGCCAGCCTGCTTCAGCAGCAGAAATATCTTCCCAGTGAGCTGGTTTAGGCCTTGAATTGTTGGCATAAGGAATAAGTGGTGAAGGCTGTGCTACAAGTTGAAAAGCAAGGAACACAAAAAGGGCATAAGGGCATAACACATAGAAGAATAAAATAAAACACTGTTGTGCATGGAATTAGAAGTTTTCTGGCTATTCAGGATGGATTTCTGTCTATCTGTAACAACAAAGTGGCAGCAGAAACATAGGTGCATATTTAGGATTTGTAATTCCATTTTAGGATTTGTAATTCCATTTTAGTTGATACACCTATATACACTATCTTTGCATATATGAGCAGGCATTCCTTGGAGGCTGGAGACCTCTTTTTGAAGAATATTTCTTTTTTTAGGGTAAATGCAGTTTTCAATGGGAGAGTTTAAGTTCAGAGGGCCAAATATAGATTTATATGTTCATTCTAATACTGACAGAAGAAACTATATGTAATTTTGGATGGAAACCTTTCTGAGGTTTGTTATCTCTTTTCCCTTTAAGCAAATCTCTGGATGGTGGAATTTTCTAGGCTGCTAATGGAAATGGCATAACAGCTCTTTCTCATCACCTCAATTCACAGTGCAACTCACAAAATGCAGCATTTTGCTCTGGATTTCTTGCTCTCTTCAAGTGAATTTACACAGGTAAAATAGCAGACTTTTCCTTTTTATTAGTAATCTGTTTAATTCCTTTCAAATGTTCCTTATATTAAAATGCCATTGACAGAAACCTGCTCTTTTGAAATAGAACATAAACTACCATCTCTTTCTGAGGGACTAGGTTTCACAGAAAGGCAGAGCTTTAAAAGATCTCTGAAGGTCATTTTGTCCAACTCTCCTGCTCAAATCAAAGTCACCTAGGGCATGTTGCTCAGGATCTTGTTCAGCTAGTACATTTTATTTTTGAGTTGGACCAGTTTCCCATGTAGTTCCATGTTTCTATCATTGACAAGAAATAAAACAATGAAACAACTAAATGTGCTGTGACTAACCACAATCCACCACTGTTCCCAGACAGCACTTTTTTAATAGCTGAGTTGATTGATTAATGTTCATCCAGATGCATAAATTAATTACCTTACCTGAAGCGTAATGTTCATCCAGGTGCATAAATTAATTACCTTACCTGAAGCAAAAATATTTCCTCTAAATTTAAAATGAATCTGCTCTCCTTCTCTTAATGGGAACTGCTGTGTTGGTTCTGGGGGACCAAAGTATCCCTCCTCGTGGAGATTTTGAAGTTCATAGGTCAATTCCTTGGATGCAGACAGCAAAACTACTATATCATATGGGTTTTCGCTTTTCTGATAGAGTATCACATTAGCCATTGTGCTACAAAGAGCTTCTTCCAGAGCCTGAGCAAACAGGAGAAGATATGTGTTTTCCAAAAGGAATGAAAGGTGAATTACCACAAAGCTGTATTTATAAAAAAAAAAGGGAACGAAAATGAAATTCATTAGCTCTATCTTAAATCATGTTATCAACTGCTAATAACTTATTTTTCAAAATAATACAGGGCTCAGTCCCCTTTTGCTACCTTTTCCATCCTTGTTTCCAACATATGAAAAATGGAAATTTGCCTGCTTCTGTAGTGTAGAGTATGTTGGCTGTGTATCTATAATTTCAAATATATCTGAATTTTAGATGAAAATAGGAGAGTATTTCCTAATAAGCATTCAGAAAAAATATTATGATTTTGTATTTAGAGAACTAAATCACATTTTCCAATTAAGACTGATACCTGCATTTCCTGTGCCAAGTTGTGCATGTGCTACACTGTGTACAGTCTATAGATGAAAAAGTATTTCAGTTTCTATATTTTGCAATTATGAGGAACAAATCTAAATCTTATACTTTAAAGTGGAAGAAAGAGATGCTGGCAAGTTAATAATGAATAGTGGATGATTTCTTATCTCTAATAATTTCCCTTGATTTGTATACATGGAAGTAAATATTTCAAAATTTTATTAAAGTATTAATACATTACCTTTGTAAATGCTCATTTAGTTCAAATGATACAAGCCCATTCTGTGCCTTCTGGATAATAACATCATCAAACACCTTCCATCCCTCTTCTTTGTTTCTGTGGCCTAATAATTTCAAAGTATCACTGATATTCTCCCCATTTTTTCTCACAGAAGCATTCACAGCCCTAGAAAGCCAAGGAATTATAGGAAAAACATAAGGAAATGTTTAGCACAGTAGAAGCAAGCTCTTGTTCCAAGCTAGTCCCTACCAAGAAATCCCTGAAAGGTTTTCTGAACCTGGAGTTGCCCATGGCAGCAGAACTGGAAAGACAACAATCAAATGGTAAATACAGATTGATTTTTGCCAGCATTTATTTTGCTGACTGACAAAACAGATGAGGTCAGCTTTTGCCTTTTTTTTTTTTCCACCACAAAGTTTGATCTATATCCTTATGTGCATGATAGATAAATTTTATTGAACTACCAGTAAATACCTGAAATTTAGAGGGTTTTTTTACTTTATTTTTGGGTTTATTTCTTTTTAGAAATCACTGTTTTAATGGGGTTTTTTTTAAGACATGCCAAATGGCCTAAGTTTAGAATTTTTTTAGACATGCCAAATGGCCTAAGTTTAGAAATTTTGTAGTGAGTGCTTTGGAAAAATCTGGACCTTTTTCTAGTGCAGTAGTTGCCACAAAACTGACCTACTACAAACCATCATGCCAGACATTTTGACTCAGGTAACCACTGGAATGTACAACGTGTAGAAGTAGAGATCAGAAGATTCAAAGGTGAGGTTCAAATCACCAACTTGTAATAAAAAGGAACACAGCAGCTTTAAGATGTTGCTATTCTCTATGTTCAGTATTTGACTTTGTTGAATACAACTGAATATTTCTTACTGAAAACAACCCCACATTTTTCATTTTGAGTCCTGCTAGAAATGTAGTAGTCAGCATATTTAAAGAATATACATCTAATACTACATGAATTTTCCTGGTGTAACTATAGCAAGAGAACTGTGAGCATTTGCTCTAGTGTTTCAAACAATGTTTCTAAGTATAGCAGTCTGCATTAAAGAATAAACATTTTGAATACAAAAAATTATTAATCAGCAACCGTTAAGATAAATTCATTTGGATGTTTCTAAAACTGCTGAATTTTAGTGAGGATGTTCTTACCGAGGATGGTATGCTGCAGCAACCCTCTTTATTGTAGCACTAACAGCTCTTGCATGTTCTGTCTCATCTCTTTGCCTTTTTTTTTCTGGGTTTGGAGGACAGGGTAGAGTAATAGTGACTGAGCTGTTAAAAGGTTGGGCTGAAGGATGCTGGACATGAACCATTGCACTAGTAGATATCACTGAGTGGTATGTATCATGTCTTGCTTTCAGTGCTGAAATCAACGATGGTTCAACTGGCTGAATCTAAATACAGGAAGCAATTGTAAGGAAATAAATCTCTTACATGTCTGCCTTTTTTACAGATTGGTTTATCTTTTGGAATGGGATCAGGCTATGTGTCCAAGTTTTGAAACTCATGCATTTCCTCAGATTTTGAAAATTTTCTGAGATTTTTCACATCTGTATTTTTCCTAATTTTAGCTTCTCTGTACCTCAAAAACTAATGTTTTTATGGGAGAAGGAAGAAACACATTATAACTGAAGCAAAATTCAAGATTATTCTCAGCCTGAGACTAAGAAGAGAGAAAACCTTCCGTTGCACTTCCTGGCACAAAGGATGAAGGTCAGGTGAGAAAAATTGTTCCATTAACTTGTACACTGGGCCAAGCAATTGAAGGTTTGAGTTGATACACTTTTATTGAAAACTACCATATTTTCTGAAGTATATCAAAGGTAGGCAGATCTTCTTTTTAGCTAGAGATATCCTTGACTGCTGATGATATTATGTGGTTTTAACAGAGCTGACAGGAAACCTGTACATACAGGATGTGGAGCTGCAACCACCTTTCACAGACTTCTGATATTGGAACAGATTGCACGTTAAGATCATTGGCATACTTGCTTCAGAAGTGATCAGATAAGAGACTTATGGAACATATCTTGCATATTTCAAATGTACCTTTAACTGCATGGGTGCTGGAGAACTGAATGTTTCTGGATGGTAACAGAAAGAGACTCTAGGATCCACGTTCAGCTTCTGTGTGAGTCCTCCCTTTGGAACAGTAAATGTTTCTTTCTTTAAGCATGACAACACTGAAAAAACACCCAGGTGATAAATTTTCACTTCTGCAGAGGTTTCCTGCATAAAGAGAGTGTGGGGTTAGAGTACATTTGAGGGAAAGGAAGCAGTGTTCCACAGTGGATAAGCATTTTGAGAAGGCAACATTCTTTATAGAGCTGTGTGTGAAATGAAAATAGATTGAATGTTATTGCCACCTGGATGCCCAGTTTTCTGGTGATCTCTAGTCATCACGTGCTGCTCTTAATATTTCCTCAAATTATGTTTTTAAAATGCTTTGGTGAGAGGTTACCAACCTTATGGTTTCCTTGGTATCCATCCAAAGAAATAGGAGTTAAGTAGTTTGATTGAAAGTTTGTATCAGTCACCTTCACCATAATCTCCCGATAATTTCCTCTGAAGCATGAAGTAAATGGGATTGCAATGTGGATAGGGAAAAGAATTTTTTCAGAATCATAGCATTCAATACTGATGACATTGCTGACCAGCTCCTCAGAATCCTCCACAAGCAAGGAACTAGTGTCATTGAGTATCTTACACTTCAGATTCTCCAGAACAGTTGCAGGGGCTTTAATAAAACAAACTACTTCATGTTTATTCTTTCCACTCTCTTCGACTAGAAATCTGGAGGAAAAAAAGATACAAAATATTATTCTTTATGTTGTGAGTCGGGTAGTGTCTTGTATTTTTAATTAAATATTTTACTGTAATAATGTGCTACATTAAAGCATAAGCTGATCATTCAGGAAAATGTTTATGAATAGATGGGAAAATCATGTAAGTTTTTATGCTTAGCTTGTTTCAGAACAGCTTACAAATGACTATAAAACTGATGAATTGGGGTCCTTTCCTACTGATTTCCAACAATTTGGGAATAATTGACTTTACTGGCAGTGACCAGTCCCTCTCTGGCATAAAATAAAAATAAATATGCAAATAGAAACTTACAGTTTACTTTAGACCAAAGGGAAAGATCTTCATTATGCATGTTTAATTTGTAAACTGCTATTACGTGCATGACCAGCAGCTGTTTGGTACATATATATTGAGTTTTTGCACTGACACATGTTTATATGCCAATGAGCAATTATGATGTACATCTGTTCCAAAAAAAGAAGACTATGTGCTTACTCTTTGTTAATCCAGAGTCTAGATTTCTGTACTTCTGAATCACTCTGATTCACAGCAGTGAGATCACATGTTTGTCCTGAAGGTGTGAAGGTACTTGGGCAATTTTTACTCATCTCATTATTTGTTTCCATGTTCTCTGTCAGTCTATGCTCTTCACTTTCTACACCTTTTGAAGGTATTCTGACTACTTCCTTTTTTTCCCATTCAGAAAGATTCATGTCAGTTCTGTCATAAACATCTTTCAATGTCCCAGACACAATGTCTTCCCCACTGCTCATAAGAGCATCTTGAAAAGCCAGTTCTGTAGGCTTTTCATGAGGTTTATCTTTTCCATTGCACTCTTTTTTCTCTGTGACAGAGTTCATCAGTAGTTTGTGTTCACCATCTTCCTTTTCCATTGGAGGTTCTCTGCTAACATCCTGTTCTTGAGCAGATATGTTTTCAGCTAATGATGCAAAGTCTTTTTCCACAGTTTCACTTGTCTGGGTTGGATTTACATTCTGACTTTCTGTCTTGTTCAGGGCAGGAGTTCTTTGGAATTGCTGACTGGGACTGGAAGATGCTTGCACAGAGTCTGTTGTTTCTCCTTCAGAACAATGCACCTCTGTTTCTCTAAAAGCATTTTGACAGATCTGGTTCTGAGAATTACCATCTTGTCTGCAGCTAGCTGCAGAATTTTCTGCCCCTTGGAGGTGTGAGACTGTATTTATCAGAGAATCCTTCACTTTCTGCAGGTAATCTATAACTCTGTTGTAGTCTGAGGCCAAAAAAAAAAAAGCAACCAATTAAATTTTGCTATGAAGTTTAGATAAAAATGTGAAAACAATTATACACATGCATAACGAATTCCACAGATTTCCATAGTGCCATTCAATGCATGATGCACACTGTATTTCCCAGCTTCCATTTAATTTTTTTGCAAATATTGCTATTCAAGCCAAGATAATTTCTGAAAAACTGAATACAGACAAGTAACATTTTGTACTTGTCCAAGAACAGCTGTGTATTTGTCAGAGTTTTACTGTGGCAACTGTAATGAACACCTTTCTAATGATCAGACATTAGCTAAATTCTTAATGACAATCAATCTAAAGCATGGAATTGGTAAATAATAGTAAAATCAATTTGGGAAGAGCTTTAAAACTAAATCTTAATTGCATGTATTTCCTAAAATTGAATCCTGCAAGATTCTAATGCATGGGTCTCTCACGAAGCTATTATACATGGGCCTAATTTTAAACATGCTTAGCAGCTTTGAATTTTTGCTGTGAAGAATATAGGACTACACAAATTCACCAAACCATATACAATACTGAATTTCAGCTGCTTGTAGCATCCAGTTATAGGAATGCTGGAGGTTGCCCATGTATAAAACTAAAATAATTTAGTGGAGAAGAGTGCACAAAATGCACACAATCACCATTCATGCCATTCATGTAAGATTTTACCTTCAGTATATTTATTTTATGAACACTCATTCTTATACTTTTTCTTAGAAATCCTTCTAGATTTTCTCACCAAGGATTTCAGATCTACTACTTTCAGCTCTTTCCTCACCTGATGTCAACCTCTATAACTGGTACTGTGGTTTTATTAGTGAGGTGTATTGCAAAACTCTCAGAGAATTCCTTGCTGATTTCAGTTTGCTGCATGAAATCCTGGAAAGCCTTGTTTTACAGGTTAAATCCAGTGAAACTCAACACAAATAAGAAAATAGTACAGACTGAATGCAGTATGGTGTGCTCTCCATTTAGAATGGAAAGAGACACGTGAGGGAAGAAAAACAGAAGGGCTGATACAAATCTTACAGGAATCCATTGACTTGTATTCACTTTTTTTTCAACAATGTCATATGAGGTAAATCAATGCATCAAGGTTTTCAACTTGGGAAATAATTTTATTAAGAATGAATGACATTATGTGATCTAGTTCGGCCTCTCACTTTGCTTCATCTGATTAATTTAAACCTACAAAGAGTAGGTTCAAAATATATTTTATATTTTTTTATTTTTATTATT